TGAAAAAGCCACCAAGGGAAGCTAAATGTTTGGTTGCCTCTTAGGCCAAATTCGCTTCAGCGATCCGGATTTCTTGTCAGTGAAACTTGTGGAAGGCACAAGTGTAATAACTGGACCCAAGTGTAATGAAGGTTTATCCGTAATAACATTTGAACCCAAGTGTAATAAAGGTTTTATCTGTCACGACTGAGATAATATGAGACACGTCCACAATAGCCTAAATATGGTCATAATCTTAACTTAAAAAGCTGACATCACGGTTCATGTGACCAAACAGAACTAGAAAAAAAAAAGGAACGAGAAAAAATACCATAGAATCTAGCAATGGCTCTCAGTTTAAGTTTTGGCAAATTTTTGCTATGAAACGTGCTTTTAAAAAAAATTCATCTCTCCAGAACAAATAAATATGTCATTCCCGTTCGCTTACATAAAATGTCAGGCTAAACAATTTTAAACCCAGTCACGGACTGATCTGTTATTATTTTTTCCCCTCTGTCTTCTTCACATTTTCACTATTTCACTCACGGCTGAATTTTATTGATAGGATTTCATGACTGTCAGTACTTTGCAAAAATAAGTTCCCACAAATAAAAATTACCGCAAAAATTTACTCTAGAGGAAATACTGTATTCTCCAACTTAAATTCACTACACAAGAATACAGCACCAAGAAATCGTGTCTGTTCAATTACAACTGGTCTCTTTTATTCAGAAACAAATACTGACGCACACTTAGTATTGTTTGAAAATATGTACATATGCACGTACTCAATAAAAACGAAAATATTATCAATGCTGGGTACTGGGTACTTTCTGAAATCGCAAAAATCAATCCCCAGCAAGAAAAACCAATCTGTCCTGATCGCAAAAATTAGTTCCCGCAAAACACAAAAAATCGCCAATCCGCAAAAATTTCGTTCCACACTGTATCCGTTGAAAAAATGATCGGTCGTTTGATCAACCAGGGCCAGGTCGTTATTTTTAGTTCCTTACTTGCGTCAGTTCAGGTTTATTAGAATACCTTTGTAATCACCAATTATGTTTATAATTATGTACTTTAGTTTTAAATTCAGTTTTGCTAACGACTCCACAGTATCAGCCCCCGACAAAGGTTTGTGTTGAAAAACGACTATATCGGAAAAAATGATATCATGTATATTCTTAATTTTGTTTGTGCTGGCTTTCTTTTCTCTTTTCGCCGATCAGTTCCTTCGATTTTGTCCTTTCAACTTGTCCTCAAACAAGAAATCCTTTTTTGAGATGCGGATGCGGCCAGTAGTTCATTGGCTTCCGTAGAGCTCATTCCCTGTTGTTGGCTTTTAGTCGGGATGTTTCAACACGAGGAACCACCGAACCACAAGAAACCGAATGATTAGAAAGGCTCGCAACAAATATGTCTCTTGTTCCTCTAGGATGCACATGATCAGGTACAATTTTCATATTTCATAAAGAAAATTATACTGTTTTTCGTCCTAAAAGTGAGCCACTAATATAACTCGAAAAAAATTGATTTAGTTGCACGCGCCAGCATAAGCCTTGATTGGCTCCGAACTCTTAACATCTTTGCAGGGGGAGATCCAGGAATTTTTCATTGGGGTGGAGGGAGGTCCAAACTTTGGTTCAGAAAGGACTGTTGAACTTTTTTGTGGCAAATTACTTTTCCCCCTCACCCCTCCCACTAGTCACTGAGAAGGCAGAGACGACTACGTGTTTCTCAATCTGTGAAAGCCAGTCGCCGTTGGCGCGGGAAATACTGCTTTGCGAGCAGAGACGAACAGATCATAGGAGGGTACCCAAGGACAATCACATTTTTGAATATCCCTGGAATTTAGTCTGGTGGAAACATACAACACGCGTTTCATTAAAAAAATTCAGCCAGTTAAACAGTGATTTTAGTCTCAAACAAGTATCAGGTCTGATGGGGGGGGGGGGGGGGGGGCCTGGGGGGGGGGGGGGGGGGGGGTCCAGACCCCCCGGACCATCCCCCTGGATCTGCTACCGCTTTAGTGCCCTTTGATATCCTTTCTACAGCATTCGGTTATTCGAACACACCAATTGCTAGCTAAAGATGCACGTTCTGAACTTGAAACTCAATCATTTTAAACAGCAGATAAAATAGTAGTAGTAAAAAGTAGTAAAACCTTTATTTAACTAGGGTAATCCCTTCAGAATACTTAAAAGTATATCTGTTATCAAAAGGAGCCCTAAATTAAGACTAATAAAAAAGTTCAAAATAAATAATAAGAAACTAAGTAACTATATGTTAATAATAGTACAGTATAACAAGAAGTGCACAGCGCCCCTCGAGCAAAAACAGGGGAAAAAGTTATTCTTTTCTTTAACTAGTTACAAAAGATACAGTCCAAAGCTAGTTTTGCATGATTTTTGCCCATTTTAGGCCTCGGGAAGGAAAAAATTCGTTAAAAAAAATATTATTCACTCGATCGTACTTAAACCAACGATTTTGTAACTAGGGCCCATAGCGCTTTATTCTGGCAGAGTTTGAGGCCAGGTCATTTTTTGACTATTTCCACGTCTAGTTGATATTTACGCGGAGCCGCTCTTAAGGGCAGGCCTTGAGAATTCACAATTTTCACATAGACCATATACTGCATCCCTTTTACCCCAGCAAACTTTTTGCATAATCATTAATATTTCTACTTTCTCTAGGTCTGCAATAGACTGTTCATTTTTGTTAATAATAATAATAATAATAATAATAATGATAATAATAATAATAATAATAATAATAATAACAAAAGGGAAGAAAAGACTCAATATCTGAACCCAACAAACAGCAAATTTTGTTCCTACGAATAGCTACATTATATACTTCTAATAAAGTACGGTAAACATGGGTAAATGGGGTAAACACATGGATAAACAACGGTAAACATGGTTAAACATAGCAAAACATGGATAAACTGGGGTAAACGTGAGTAAACGGGGTAAAACATGAACAAACTGGGGTAAACATGGGTAAACAGGGTGAAATGTGGATAAACTGGGGTAAACATGAGTAAACGGGGTAAAACATGGATAAACTGGGCTAAACATGGATAAACGGGGTAAAATGTGCATTGACTGGGGTAAACATGGGTAAACGGGGTAAAACATGGATAAAGTCGGGTAAACATCGTTAAACGGGGTAAAATGTGTATAAACTTGGGTAAACATGGGTAAACGGGGTAAAACGTGGATAAACTCGGGTAAACATGGGTAAACGGGGTAAAACATGGATAAACTGTGATAAACATGAGTAAAAGGGGGAAAACGAGGATAAAATTGTGTAAACATCAGTAAACGGGGTAAAACATGAATAAACTGGGTTAAACAAGGGTAAACGGGATAAAATGTGGATAAACTGGGGTAAACATTGGTAAACGGGGTAAAACATGGATAAACTGGGGTAAACATGAGTAGACGGGGTAAAATGTGGATAAACTGAGTAAACATGGGTAAACGGGAGAAAACATGGATAAACTATGGTAAACATGAGTAAACGGGGTAAAACGAGGATAAACTTGGGTAAACATTGGTACACGGGGTAAAACATGGATAAACTGGGGTAAACATCAGAGTAGACGGGGTAAAATGTGGATAAACTGGGTAAACGGGAGAAAACATGGATAAACTGTGGTAAACAGGGGTAAACGGGGTAAAACGAGGATAAACTGGGGTAAACATGAGTAAACGGGGTAAAATGTGAATAAATTTGGGTAAACATTGGTAAACGGGATAGAATGTGGATAAATTGGGGTAAACATGGATAAACGGGGTAAAATGTGGATAAACTGGGGTAAACATGGGTAAACGGGGTAAAATGTGGATAAATTTCGGTAAACATGATTAAACGGGCGACTATATATGGAACATGAACGTCGACGTTTATAGGTACACTATAGGTAAACTGGGTTATATCAATTTTGCAGATATGTAAATTTCATATATGCGGGACGTCTCGTGGGCCTTACATGGCCGCATTACCGCCAACTTGTGTTGAAATTTCCAAAGTTTGAGAGACGCCGTGTCTATTGAACTTAGTATGGAAGATTCTGATTCAAGTGATTTTTATGAGGCAGAGCCCCAGGAATTCGAAGACGAAGTCGAAGTCGAAGTCGAGCAGTCTTTTCTAGATTTAGAACCCATCAGTGAAGCTGAACAATCTTCGTTTTGCGTTGAACTGATGAAGCGACTCAACATGCAGCGACAACAGTCCTATTTCTGCAATATAATCTTAGTAGCGAAAGAAGGTAATGAATTTAAGGCCCATAGAAATGTGCTATCGGCTGCGAGTCCGTTTTTTTCAAAGCTTCTTCAGAGCGAGATGAAAGAGAAAGAGGAAGGAGTTATTCGTTTCGAGGAGATTTCGAAATCGATCCTCTCAGATGTTTTGGAGTTCATCTACACAGGAAGTGTCGAGATAAATGAAAAGAATGCCAGGGATCTGATAATCGCAGCCGACTATTTACTGCTTGAGTCTTTAAAAACTATCTCCGGGCGATTTCTAGAGAAGCAAATGTCCAGCTACAATTGCATTTCAACCATTCACTTTGCCGAGAAATATCGGTGTGAAGAACTTGTTCTTCGCAGTACAAAGTTCATTCAAGACAACTTCACTTCCGTAGCAAAGTCAGACGAATTTTTAAACTTGGATGCAGAAGAAGTTGAAAAGTGGATTTCAAGTGAAAATATCTTGGTTGCAGCTGAAGAAGATGTGTTCAAAATAATAGTTAACTGGGTCGAGCAAAACAAAGGCGAGCGAAAAGACAAGTTTGAGCAGCTTTTTTGTCATGTCCGACTGGTCATGCTTTCGCGTGACTCTTTGTTCTCTGATGTTGTGACAAATGAACTGGTAACAGAACATTTTTCTTTTTCTTCAAGTGCTTCAAGAAGAAGGCTTGAAACGGAGGCCATTGTAGTACGTGGGGGAAAGAAAACCTACTGTTACCTTCCCGAGAAAGATGAATGGAAGCGGCTAGCAGACGGATTATCAGAAGACCGAAACCACACTACACAGATAATAAAATTCCGTGATCAGCTGTATAGTTTTCCTCGGAGAAGAAATGCTGAAACAGAAAGATATGACCCTGCTTTCAACAGCTGGACCACATTAAAGTTACCCCTTCCAAATGATACATTCTCGTTGGCTGTTGTTAATGGGCAAATCCATGCTATGTACCGACGGTTGCGTCGAGAGGCCGATCCGGGGCCTCATTTCGCATTCCACAGCAGACGCTATGAGTTGGTGATTAAAAGATACAATGTGGAGTTGTGCACCTGGGAGACTCTGTCATCCTCTCAGGACTCCCACTATCAGAACGACTCTTGCATTGTTGCCTTTGGCAACTGTCTGTATATTCTTGGTGGTGGATGTAGTAATAAAGCTAGCAGATTTGATACTGCGGAGAGCAAATGGGAGAAAATTGCGTCAATGCCAATTTCAGAGTTTAGTCCCTGTGGTGTTGCTACTCGAAAGAAGATTTTTGTTACTTCTGCCCGTGAGCAGCAATGTGAAGTGTACCAGGTTTCCACTGACGAATGGCATACCATTCCAAGTTTGAACTTTACCCGCCCAGTTTTTTCACGTAGTTTGGTGTGTCTTAACGAAACAGTTTATGTAGTGGGTGGTGCTGAAAAAAATTCGTCCCAGCTAGCCGAGATTGTAGTTAATAGCTATGATCCCAAACTAAGCAAGTGGATCCAGAAGACCTCCATACCTATCAACAAGAGCTCTGACGAAGAAACTTATTCATTTCAATGCTCAACATTGAAACTCTCTAAAGGATTGCTCACGAAACCAAAAATAGTTACAATTGGCTAGCTGGCATAGTCAAAAGTCGATTCTGTAGCATTTACAATGGAAAAGGTTATTGTTCAGGAAGCGTGAGTGTCTCGAACGATACAAATTTTCCCTTTATCTGGAAACAGTGTGGACGTTTTATCATTATTATAATTTTTTTCTTTTTGCCTTTGTTGGGGCTGAGGAAATGTACTGATGTATGAATTGAAACTGAAAATGTATGACTGAACTCTAAGGTGTTAGCTTCTGGTAACAGAAGATAGAGTAGATTAATGTGATCCCATTGATCCCTCTTTCTTCTGGTAATAGTTATTTTTACTGTTTTGTTTATTCCTGCATGCCTTCCTAGATCATGCTAGGTAAAAAGATGTGGACGGAAGCTTTCTCACATCTGTGAAAATCCCACTTATTAAGTCGGGAAAATCTTAGAGTGTCTCCTCAGATGGTGGATTTCCCCCTCCCCCCAAAAATAGACAGTATTCTTGCCTCCTGTACCCCTAGGAATGGGCTATTTCAGTTGTATTTGCTGGTCACGTGTTGCTAGAGCCTTTGATTTAAAAAATTCATCAAGAGGCAATCAAAGCTTTATACCCCATAGTCAAAAACAACCTAAACAGCCTGAATGATTTACAAAACTTGTTTTTCAATAGTGAATACGTACTTTTCGAGCATGGAGAAAAACGATTCAAGCAGTGTACGGTAAAAAGAGGTAGTAAAGATGTTTCACACCTACTGGGTAGTTTTTGTTTAAGTTGAAAAAGTAAAATTTTAAGGCTTGCTGTCAGTCTAACGCAGTTTCAAGGGTAGCAGCCATAGGACTGTAAATAGTTTTAGTAAGACCTGTAAAACAGACGAAATGGTCACATTGAGCGCTTTTGTCCACGGTCTAACTTTAGACTTTGTGTAATTAAAATAGCTAGCCCTGCTTATTTCGAAACATTTTGTTTTTATTGCATCACTTGAAACAATGACCAATAAAAGAAGAATTAATTTAGGTTAAGGGAAAAGCACACAGTGCAAACGGGGCTGGTAGATATGCAGGCGAATCCTTGCTGACGAGATTTAATTTACAAACTGCTTTCAAGAACGTACGTAGAAAAGACACCGCGGTAATTAATATTATCCTTTATGCGAATTGACTTGAGAAGTTGGATCATTATGATATTCTTGGAAACTGCCCAACTACCCCTCCCCTGACCCAACATTCCAAAGTTCATTGACATACATGTATAATTTGATGCAGTAGTTGCCTGGTAACCTACAAGTAACCATCACTCACAACTCGAGTTCCCAGTACCTCAGTGTTAAAAGCATCCAAACAGTGTACGGAAGCTTCTGAGTTCGATTTCCCAGATGCAACGCTGGATTTGTTATCGGATGTCTTCTCCAAACGTATTCATTCTATTTTTGAAGAAAGTATAACTCCCATCCCTAACATTTTACGGAACACCCTCCCGAGCCTTACGTGGTTCAGTGATAAAACTATTTCTAGTTTCAAGTAGAATAACTGATCGGATTTTGACCGAAAACTTGACAAGGGAATAGTAATCACGTGCCGATGATGAGGCAGAAGTGATCACAATACTTCGTCTATTCAACGTTCCATGCCTGTTCACTGGCGAATTCAACTCTCACTCCACCACACAAAACCTTTGCAACTAGGTCCTCAGCCTTGCAACCGAATCAGCTTATAAGATGGCGTCTATTTTCACTGCTAAGCCCTACATGTGAGTTGTGCTCTGTGCGAAAGTCCCATTTGCTTGAGATGAAATATTAACAAGTTGTTCTTGTAATTTCCTGACTTCACAAACCAACTGTCCCAGTTTGTCCTCAATATCTTTGAGGTTGCCTTTGCTGGAGTTTGACTGAACCTTGACATCCTTCAATTCAATCCCATCTACAAGAGAAATAGTCATTACACTCACACGAAAAATAAGCTACCCAGGATATTGTTAATTCGGCTGCGAAATGCAACGCAAATGCCGAGTTTAATTCCTCCTTTTCGGATGGAAAGGACCGTCAAGGAGAGAAAGTTTTAAAAAAGAACGAATTACCGGGCTAATTTTTTTTAATATTAACCACAATTAATTAAAGTTTGTTTACTTCTTTATCGCTTTGAAGTTTTGTATATTTTCTATACAAACTATTTATGCTGATCCAGGTCTGCAACTGGGTGATACGGCAATACTCAACGGTTTGCATGAAACTCCAGTGGATAAAAAGGAGTGAAACATACGCCCTTCACTACTAACCTTCACTATTCTCAACCCTTTTGTTTGCTTTCCACATTGTTTTGTACACAAGTTCACCAATAATCCCCAACAATACGAGGCACAAGAAAACCGCCATTGTGATAAATAGGAAACGTTGGGTGGATTTTGATGCACCAGAGAAGATACTCGTCGAGTCACTGTCCTGGTTATAAGCCTGAAATGGTCATGTAAAGGAATGGTTAAGACTTTATTGACAATCCGTAATTACAAACTATTCAGAGGTAAATATGAGCCCCGGCTATCTCCTACTTCCCTTGTTTTTACTGAGCCAAAATCCAGGAAGCAAAGCCAGTGTGGGAAGGTTTAAAGATTGAAATATGGCCCTTAATGACTGGTATTTGTTTTTTTCTTTTGACACAAGTAGAAAACACTGAACTCCTTTTTTATGTAAACGCTTTCTATTGTTACAATAAATTTGTTTAGATGCTGTTCACGGGAGTAAAAACGCTCAATACAGTTAGATATGACCGTAATTAGCTATTACCGTAACCTTCAGCTTATAAGCAGTGGGGTTTTAGCGGGGGTTAAGCTTCAAAACGTCACAATAAACCGAATTCTCAGGAGGGTGGGCTTACAATCGGAGCTAGAAGGGCGTTTATATCCGGAAGGGTTATAATCGGATGTATTTTTTGTTTGCAGGCGAATGGGCCTACAGCCGGGAGGACTTAAGTTATAACGGTATTAGTAAAGCCTTCTTCAGTTCTTATCAAATCAGATTTATTCCTTACCGCTACCGGCTTCAAATACTGTAGGAGCAATTTGTCCACATCACGTTTCATGATAGCAGATTTAAAGCATGAGTTGTTCGCTGAAACGCCAAGTACAGCAAGGTCATATTTCACCGCTTCGCTCGTATCAACAGACAGAAAAACTTTGAGGTTAGACTTATTTCTTGAGTGTAGGTAGTGGCCAGCTTTGAATTTGTCCATGAATATGCCATCTATAATATTTGCCTCGAGCTCTCTGAACAGAAGCTCAGCTGATGGGAACTCTGTAAGAAAATGGATTGGTAAACAAGGGTGGGATCCATTCATCGTATTCCGGAGTAAAAATACAACAAAGCTTTGTTACAAATCTCTTATACCTTGATTTTTTGGATTGCGTAAGCGCTATATACATCGGGATATTTATTTCAAGCATATTCGTTATGTTGTCGTTATGTTGGGAAAACCGGAGTACCCAGAGAAAAATCTCTAGAAGAAAGGGAGAGAACCAACAACAAACTCAACTCATATATGGCTTCGACGCCATGGATCCGGATGATCCGGTTGAAAGTGAACATTTGCGGCTAAGCAAGCAAACAAATAAACAAACAGTACAGCATGAACCAACGGTCGGAGCTCTAGACATGCAATCCGGAGGAACCGGTTGCAAGCCCCTTGGACTAATTTAATTAACGGTACTGCAACTTTTGAACACGGCTCCCGGCCAGGTGGAATTTTTAACCTTTGTTATATCCATTTAAATTCTTTTTTTCTTTTCAGTAATTTATTTTATCTGTCCACTCTCGCTCTCCGTAATTGCTGGCGACAAGAGGAGCCCGCAATCCTAATCTTCAGGTTGTTATCACTCATGCGTCGCATGTATGTAGCCAGCATTCATTTAGACTTCCACTAACAATGAATGGAATGCACTGAACGCAATTTATGACGCGCATTTTGGACCTTCTATCACTCGTAATCTGATCACGCGTGTTTTGACTATCTGTCACGTGAAACTTACGCAAAGCACAGCGATGGAGCGAAAGCGTTTTGACCTTCGATCGTTGTCGCCCGCACTCCGTAACCTTTGGTTGTAACTAGTTTTAGTGTACGTTGCCAAGAGGCTATATGACCTTACTTACCTTTTACTATGGCGCCTCTTTGTTTTGCCTCTAACCCTGCTGATGTAACATTCAATACTCCAACCTAATAAGGCAAATGCAAGGAAGTAGATTGAAAAACATACTTTTTAAGGCAATAAGCGGTGGTACACTTCCGTGTTAATTAATATCTATGACTTGTTAGTTACGGTTTTGAACAAAAGTTGCTCTCTGTACATAAAGAACAATGTTGCCCAGCCATTCAAAGAACTGTTTTAACAAAGGTCTTATACGGCATTTTTATTGTCCGTATTAAACTATTAAACACAATTAAGGTCTTTTGATTTTGATTATATCAGGGCCGCGAGTTTTTCTTACAGTTGTTCCTTCAAGCACTGCCAAGTCGCTTGGGGAGACGCTGAGTGAACTTGTGGCAGTCGCTGTGAACACTGCTATGACAACCAATCCAGTCAAAATCCAAGCGATGCCAAACAAACGACCAAAAATGAATTTGGGAGTTTTGTCACCATACCTAATAAGAAAACAAATGTTGGAACACCAAACACATTAGCGAGTTTAAGTAACGACGACAGCAATGGTGGCTAAACGGTCTCTTAAAACGTGAGTTCGTCCGCCAGAAAACGTGAAATTCGGCAGTTGCTCGTCGAATTCGTGCAAAGACGACAAAGAAATGTACTGCAAAGCCTGATGCACTTGCAGTGTTGTTGATTTGCTAACATAAACCTCCTTGCTTAAGCTCCCGAGACGTCCTGGGTTCGATTCCCAGGGCCGGACCAAGTCATAAAATCACTGCATTGTGGCAAACGACTAGACCTTCACGTGTCTCGGATGAGCACTACGTAACGAAAATTCTGCCTCTTACAGGGGACGTTAGAACGGGGTCCTTGATTTATACTACCTACATTGGCATTTAACTTAAACCGGAA